AGACCACTAATAGAGAAACGAAGCTGCTCTGCACCTTATGCAAAACGAATGAAAAGTATATTAGGATGATATTCATCTTCCTTGGTTGAACAAATTAGTTGATCACTTATCTTGCGCTTAAACTCGAAAATACAGGTGAATAATATTCCATAATGAAAAACTTAGTTTCGTATGCCTAATAAGTTAGAAATAAAGTATAGAGACGGTGAGAACAAAAATCACACCAATAACCGTAACAATAATGAAAATATCTGGTTTTGTCATCTCTTGATTGTGTTATATTTTATTATATAAAATTTGATGCGTCAAATTTATCTTCTCACAAAAAAAAAAATTAAATTTCGATAATCTCTTCCACGAATTTTATTTTAGCTTTTTATTATAAAATAACATCAATTATCCTCTTATTCAATATGTGAGATAGGTTATGACATTTTCATTCGCTTCATGCAAGTTGTAAAGTAAAGTTTTTGTGCATCATTCGCTTCTTACAAACTTTGGAAATCAATTATATGAAAGAAAACTTATTAAAATATGTAATTTTAGTTTGCAACTAAAAATATGAGATTTAATTTGTCAAAATTTTGAAAATATAGATATATGAGTACAACATTAAAAAAAAAAGGAATAAACTAATTAACTTAGGAATAGAAAAAAAAACTAATTATTTGGAAATATTTGACAAATTTAAATGAAAAATATCATCTTATTATATAATAAAAAGAGTCAAAATAACTTAATAACATTGAGACTTTTCTATTAGTGGTTTCGCACTTTTTAATTTTTTTTTTTTCACATATTATAAAATAATTGTAGAACTGAAAAATTCAAATAGGAAAATAAGAAATAAATTCGATTTAAAAAGAAAAGATTAGTGAAGTAGTTAACACAAAATTACTTCATACATGAATTAGAAAAAATCTAATTACATGATAAAATTTAAGAATTACATGGAAATCAACTAAGAAAAACAACCAAGATATAAAAGTAACTCTTAAATTATTTTCTATCAAC